ATATACAGTAAATTGGGGCAGACTTCACTTGGGGCCGAGTTGACGTGTTGCCGAGTTGACATGGGGACGAGTAGACTTGGGGCCGAGTTGACTTGGGGACGAGTTGACTGGGGCCGAGTTGACTTGGGGCTGAGTTGACCTGCTCCCGTTCAGAATCCATTGTCTACTTTCCCCCGCAAGTGGGCGGTAGACACAAAAAGTCAACAATTTGTTAATAATACTGAGAGTATTACGGCAAAGGTCATGTGTTGCCAACGCAGAAAGCGTGGATGGGTTACTATTTTCCAAAGCTTAATGTATTAATAATATGACCACTTATTCCATTATTAATCCATACTCTAATTGTAACAAGTATTCAAGTATTTTTTATTCATCAAATTCACAGTTAAAACGGAACTGCATTTATGTAACATTAAGAACAATAAACAATCAAGCAGCAATAAAAGACCCACAAAAATAGCACACACAAATCCTAAAAATATCAATTAGACAATAATTATAACAAATCAATAACATACATTATATATGAAAGAAAGAAAAGAGAAAGAAAAAAAAACCCCGTAAAAACCAAACGAGATCTGACTCAGAGTTTCTATCAGAATTTTTCGAGTCCCCACAGAAAGTAGCCAAACCCCCACCCCTCCCCTTAAAAAAGGGAAAAACTATATCAAGCATTAGACACAGGCTCCCACTGGAAGCCTATTATAATTTGCGACAGAGAAATCATTCATCACAATCTGTACCTTCAATATAGTATAGATAGAGTAAGGCACGTTTAGGTTAACAATCAAATATTGTAGAACGCCCTCTGTAGTAAAACAAACTTTAAGGTTTGCGTGTGTTAACTTCCGAGTCTGTAATAACTAAGCTAAAATTGATCACGGAAAAGAGGCACTGGAAAAAATGTCCCCGGCTAAAAATTCCTCGGGAAAAAGACCCAGTGAAAAAAGGACCATGAATGAGAAAATAGGATCCCCACTGCTGTAAAAATTGCCTCTTCAATAATTGACAAACGGCTTGCTAGAAATGTTGTTGTGAGCTCGTCAAGTTCGAGATATGATTTAAATGTACTGTTAGGCCTACATACGGACGCTGTAATAATAAATATAATATAGGCCTATGTTTAGTTACAAGTATGAAGATAAAATGGCATGTGTATATTGAATAGGCCTGTATTTAAAAATCTGGTACCTACAGCGTTTCTCCTGAGATCGATTTAAGCATGATTTAAGTGTATAATTATACTTTAGTCGTTGTTGCGTATGAGACAGGAGAGTAGGAGAAAAACTGGATTGAAAAGATAAAGGTAATAAAACAAACAAAGGAACCCCAGACACTAATAATTAACATGGCCTATAGGCCTACATTTTTTCCCATCCTCGTACTAATTTTGTGTGGTGTATAGTTAGCTCATAGACCTTGTGACTTTCTAATAATTCTAATTATTAAAACACAAACCACATCAAAAACCCACAAAGCATGTACAGATCATTCGTGGTCTTCTTAAACGACCCCCACTGTGCATATCCGCAGAAATCTTCCTGACCCACCATTTATCACGGTACAAGTATATTAATTGTGACGCTTATCAGTTCGAAAGCACTGTTGCGCTTCAATTGGGAAGCGATAACAGCCAATTGAAGCGCAAACAGAAACTGTAAATGAAATTAACAAAATATTTGACTACTTCTGTAAGAGCTATATTAAACAAGCATGGGTTTTACGTACAAAAATGTTAAATGTTAAATAGACGTTTACGATGCCAGTCTAGTACTACTGATACTCCTATATGCTTGATATCTATAAATGATTTTTTTCTATACTTTGTTTATAGGCCTATTCCTCATGTCTGTTTAGGTAGGTCTGTTTTGTTATGTTTAAAACACTGTAAAATGTTCGCATAATTTCCATTAGTTTTTTTTTTTTAATGGAAACCAACTCTAAACTGTATGAAATATGTATAAAAACTTGCAAATTAACAGGTAAATAAAATAAGAAATAAAACACTTACAACTTTGATGATAAACATCTCATGATGAATTATCATCGAACTATAGTTGTTGATATTATTGTTTATTCTATTCTATCTCATTTGCCTTGCATGTTTTGTTATGTTTTTAGTTAAGTTTCTAACAGTTATAATTTTTAACGTGTTTTTTTTTTAAGAAATTGTAATTTCTAAGTATTAATTGACATTTTATGTGATTTGTGTGCATACGTATATGGGTGTAGATGTGTTTGTGTATAGTATGGGTGTGTATTTATATGTATGTGTATATTATGTGCATATGTGTGTGTGTCTTTTGTATGTGTGTGTGTGTGTATGTGTGTGTGTATGTGTATATGTATGTATGTATGTGTATATATATATATATATATGTATATGTGTATATATGCGTATATATGCATGTATGTATGTGTATTTTTTTTTTCTTTTTTTAAAGTTGTGTATATGTATGTGTGTATGGGTGTATATGTATGTGTGTATATATGTATATATATATATATGTGTATGTGTGTGTGTGTATGTATATGTATGTATATATGTATATGTATGTATATGTATATATGTATATGTATGTATGTTATGTATATATGTATATATATATATATATGTATATAATTATATATTTGTTTATGTATGATTTATGTGTATGTATGTGTATATTTGTATTTTTATGAGTAAATTTCTTGTAGTGCTAAATTTGCTTAATTTTTTAGGTTCTGATTGAATATGTTCTGTGTATTAATTTAAGACCGAAAATTTTGTTCAAATGTATTTTCTACTGTAGCTCTTTAATGCTGTAAGATTAGTTTAAGACATTCATTTTGACATGAATAACCTGTTAGATGACTTAAGTTGTTTTTTTTTCCTTTTTAAGTAAGTTTACAGTCTCACTTTTCGTATTAAATTAATAGATCTCCTGGATCTGAATGGGTGGCTCCTCAACGCCACTAAAATAATATTTAAAACTAATAGAGCTTTTTAAGTTGTATGGATGACGAATGGTATGTATTTTAGAAATGAAAATAATACACTAACCTTCATCTGCCATTGGTTACTTAGCGCACGTAACATGTGAAAATCTTATTACATCTACATTTTAAAGGACTGAATGGAGTGGGCGAACTTGAGCCTGTTCTTTTATAATTGAGTTCTTTTTTTTTACAATTTACTAATTTTTAACAAGTTTGTTTCTACAACCTTATATGCAAACAATATATTCATAAAAAATCTTATTTGTTTTGTAATGTGCTTGATAAGCCTGGGCCTACTGCTAAATAATATCCGATTGATTGTTATATGCAAATGAGCTTTTTGGATGGCTATAACATACCGCCTTATCTACAACATACCATGCTAGCTTTCTAACGCTGTTGACTTTAGCGTAGAAGGTGTGAACTTGCTAAACAAAGACTTAATGGTCAAGTAAATTAGCCAAGAGGTAAAAACAATTCATGCTCATTCAGTAAGCTTTGCTAAATTTACTACTATAAACTTAAATTATGCAAATTTTTAAATATTATGAGTCATAAGTTAATACACATAAGAATAAAGCATGTTATTAACATAATAATAATAATAATAATAATAATTTATTCGCCATTTCACTTTTTATAACATACGTAACAAATACCAAAAGAAGTAGCTGGTATGGGTTATTATAAGATTCCCCCATTTTTACAAAGTGGACGATTCCTTCAAAACTTATTGTTTTAAGTGCATTGATGACTAATTTTCACTGTTTGTAGCGTGGTGCCGTTTTATTTAGGATATTTTCTTTACAGCACTTCACATCTTGGAGGAAAGTCGCAAATCAGTTTCATTATAAAGTTTTGTCATTATTAGTATACAACATGTCTCAACAAAAGTGAACAATTTTAGAACTGTCAACAGCTTGTAACTATGATTGGGACAGTGGAACAGTACATCTCAAATTTCCAGCCGTCATTCTCGTCAAATAACACAATGGTTGACAATCACTCTACCAGTCTGCAGACAAGTCCCGATGGAAGTAAGTACATACACTCATTAATTTATTATTTATTAAATTTAAACTATTTTGTTAGATCCAAACAATTGAGCTAATAATAGCTTTGAACAATGTTTAGTGCTCATTATATCCATGATATAATTATCTGAACTTTATTACCGGAAAATGTTGAGGACATTTTTAATGTCTACGCTAGTGTACTATAATATCCATAGAATTTTACTATATATAATTACAATAACAAAATCATTAAACTTTCTGTACAACATGTGTAAAATATGCTTTTTTAGGTAAATCCACTGGTTGGTTGTTTTAAAAATACATTAACAAGACAACCAGTGGTTTTATCCCAAAATTTTTACACATGGTGTACTCCGGTGTACCGACAATTTTGATCTTGTTATTAATACTCGCCATGCAAAACCTTCATGAAATATTATATAATCAAAATTAATAATATATCTAAACTTACAGGAAAACGTGACCTATATTAATGCATTAATTACTTATTGGCTGATGTTATTACTTTTATCCTTAATCAACTTTAATGTGTTTTTTTGTTAAAATGGAAACAATTTATATTCAAGAGATTAACTTTTTTATTCAGCATTTTGTACAATAGTCCCATGGCAAACGTCAGCGTCCAAAAAGGCTGTCCTTCAAACTGAATAAATTATTTGTTTATTTTTTGTAAATATGCCTGTAGACCCATCATCTTCATAACAACGCCCACCTATGGATTCACGACTGCTTACTGTTGTACTTGTATAACATTTCTTAATGATAAAGGTATACAGGCCTACTGTGAAATCTTCAATTTTGTTTATTTTTTGTAACAATGCCCACTTATGGATTGACGACTATTTATTGTACTTGTAATAGTATATAATTTATTACAGTAATTATGAATATAATAACTATATAAACCTATATCGAAAGGTCCACTGATTAATCTCAGATAACATAGTATAATACATACTCCAAGTATCGAAATGCACACCATCGTGTCGGGATTCAATATAATGATGTCCTATATAATAATAAACCTATATATTTTTAATAATTAGTAAAATAATATCAACTAACATATGTATACTATATATTCTCTAATATCTTATGATTCAAATTATTAAATATTTAAAGTGTAATCACGTGCGTGTCGGACAACCATGTGTAAGAAATACAATATTTGGATTGTACATCAATGCAGTATTTTATGTTAAAAATGCGATTTATTTATTATTAATGTTATTTTTTATCAATATTAATATTTTATTACCATTATATAGTACAATCTATATTTCTATAGGGTAAAAATCATTAAAAAAATAAAATAAAATGGTAGATCTGAACATGAATGAATGAATTGTAAACGACACACAAGGAAAAATCATAATCAAGAAGTAATCGACAGCAATTACAATACAAAGTCACAATAAATTGAATAAGGCGAACTGGTTTACTTGTAAGTCTACTAACAAATTGTCAATATACTGTAGCTATAATAAAGTCGTAGATTAATTTTTTTTAAATAATTACAATAGGGCCTACTTAAAAATAACAATTTACAATCCCAGTTTTAAACGATAAAAAGCTAAAACAGTTCAATATTAAACATTATACAACTAATATTTCATTACAGCCACAGGAGAAACCCCCAATATTATTCTACTCATGGTTGTGATATTTAACCGAGTAAAAAAAGTCTTATCGGCCATTGAACCCAATATGGTAGGCCTTATAATGTTAAGTCTGATTTAGTAATCTCTCAGCGAGTGTCCTCTGGTCTACAAGGGATTTAGGAACAATAATAATGTCAACATTATTCAATAGTTTGCCTATTATAACACAACACGAAATAGGCCTAATGAGTTGTGATTTTTTTTTCCATCAAAAATACACAACTGAGTTAGGCCTACTATAGGCCTAAACACATAAACATTATAACTATTTTTTTTTCTATCTGAAAAGTCACTCACTTTTAATAGGAAGGCCAATGAATGTACTAATCCGCCATCAATAGAATAAGGTCATTGACTGAGAGGCCATTGAACCCAATATTTATCGGATCTCTCATTATGTTAAAACATTATATTATTATTATTATTATTATTATTATTATTATTATTATTATTATTATTATTATTATTATTATTATTATTATTATATAAAAAACGGGGTAAACATATTTATCTTGAATCAATTTTGTTTAAACAGAAAGATAATAATGTAGTAATGACAGTAGTACTGAGTGAGAAGCATTTTTAAAATTAAACTTAAGCATTTTACTATATATTTTTATTATTAATTAATTACATTTTTTGGAAAAAAAAGTCCTTTAAAGGTTCATTGGAGACGCTTTTAAACATCGGGAAACCTATGCCTTTCAGGAAACATTTTGAATAAAGTGCTGAAACGATCACTACGGTAGTTCTACTATTGATGACAAAGACAGGCCTACATATTGGTCTAAATATTAGAAAGCACTCACACAGCGCGTAACATTAACAAACCCTTTCATATCACTGTGATTGAAATGACAATAGCTATGCTTATTAATTATATCTTCTAGTTCTTCTGAATACAGAATATCATTGTTTTCTATCGGCCAATTATAGACTCACATTACTCTTAACATGTGTTACAGTAGTTCTTTGAAATATTTTTAATCCGTGTCTAGAACAGTTAGATCATGTGTTACTGTAGTTCTTTAAAATATTTCTAATCCGTGTCAACAGTTAGATCTACAAAGTATCAGTAGTTACCGGTACGTCCATTCCCTACACCCAAGCATTGTCCACTTGTTAACAAAAGACCGATCATGCCTATTTCGAATCATGATTTGCACTTTCGTACGACTGTTAAAGAAAGCGAACCCGTAAAACTACTCGTTTGACAAGATATTGTTTCGGATCTTCATTAATCAAGAACTGAATCGTCATTGTCAACCCTAAAGCAATTCTTCGTAAAGAGTGAATGAACCAAACACAAAAGTTGTATTATAAATAAGGTGTTAACATGCCCAACCGTTAACCGAGTATGTACGTTTTATTTTAAATTCAGGTAAAATGTTTTTCTCTTACTAGCGAAAACAGTAACATTAAAAACATAATATACATATTTGCTGTTCGATTCCAGTTGTCTGTAGAAATATGGTGTATGTATAATATTATATGTCCGAATAAAGGTACAATGTATATAGTACATAGCTTTCTTTTTTCATTACAGTTCATCTCAGTTCCATTCAAATGCATCAGCAGCAATTTCGGACACCAGCGTCAGTAATGCTTCCAAACGAATATGTATATCACTACAACAGACATTACGAACCGACATACAGCAAGTTTCCCTTTGATTCAATTGCTCATTTTAGTACTCCAAGCACACATGCCTATATGGGATCAGCGATGCATCAACACGGAATGTTCGACGACTATCAAGAAACATATGTACCAGTCGCGATACCTAGACTGACACTTCAACAATCTCATCAACCCGAAATTACTTCAAAAAAGCGCAAACATTTGTCAAGCGATTCTACTAGTAATCATTCATCTGAATCGCAGGAACATTCCCCTAAACGTAATCACACAATAATTGATGTAAAACAGAGAAAATTAAACAATTGCATGAACCGTGTAAGCAGCAGACCAGAATCTCCATACATAGACGTGGTGGCAATAAGCGAGCCGGGAAAGATTAATTGTGAAATTATTAGCGATGAAAGGAATGTAGAAAAGAGTGTTATTGAGACACGAAAATGTATTTACTTGGACCATTTACCTATTCGAAAGCGGCATCATCACGCCAATGGAGAACCGGCACCGTTATTAGGTTCAACTTTGAAAAATGAAGCCCTGACAAGAGAATTAGGGTGCCCACAGAGCGGGACTCCAACTACAAGAATGGTTAGCCCTCTAAACGGGAGTGACAAGAACTCTTCTGGTTATTGCAGTGAGACCGATGAATGTTTCGATGAAAGTTACATCCCGCCACCCCGTAAGAGTACTGGCATCTCTACAGTGGACGCCGGAAAAGAAGTTATACGTAGACTTCAGCAAAAAGACAATGCCCTTTCTACTTCTCCTAAGGCGTTACCAAATACATCGCAAGCAAACTTAAACTCCATTACAAATGGTTTTAAAGTGAATAGTGCACATCTTACAGAATTTTATCCAGTGATGAACCACTTTGCATTCAACTCAAAAATTACGCCTATGTTTACTGTGGCGGGCAACCGAAGGAATACAGACGTGGCGCTCGTGAACTCTATAAACTACCAAAGATTGTCGACTCCTTACGGGACACCTCCAGTAGAACGATTTCCATTTTTACCAATCGTTCCCTCTGGTTTTCCAACAATGCATCGAATGACATTTCCACATCAAACTCCACAACTTAACTTCGACGAAGGTGATTTAAATGTCAATCCATCAGCACTATCGATCAACCATGGGACGATGACAAAACATCCCTACGCCTCTCAACATTTGTTGCCTCCAATTGTGCCTTATTCAATTGCCAACAGCGTCGCTCATATGCCAATTCCTCAACCACCGACCTGTGCCATTCCGAATACAGGTATTAATCATAGAATATCTATTCCTAAACCGATAACTTCAGTGCTTCCAATTTTAATAGCGCCTCCAACGACAACTGTTAAATCATCAGTTTCACCAGATGCTTCGCAATATGCACCATTGAAGAGAGCACCAGGAAGGGCGAAACAGTCAAACCACGTGACCAATGATGCCGCCCAACTTGGAGAAAACTCGTACTTGTGTGAGGCAAGTTTCTCAAAATTAATTTCAAAATTTATAAGAAATTGACTTTTTTTAAAATATATATTTCTTGTGTTGCTTTTATGACAATCAATTCTGAAAATTTATTTCAAAATTTATAGGCAATTGACTTTTTGTATATTTCTTGTGTTGCTTTTATAACAATTAATTCCTGTGCAAAAGTGATAAAAAAAAATATATTTTTTCTTCTTTTTTAGGTGTGCAATAAAGTGTTTCCTTTGCAGCGATTACTCAATCGACACATGAAGTGTCACAACGCAACAAAACGTTACCAATGTGTTCACTGTGGTAAAGGCTTCAATGATACATTTGACTTAAAGCGTCACGTAAGAACTCATACAGGTAAGCCTAATAATTATTTTTATTTGTTATCTGTTACTTTGTATTTATATAGCGCCTTTTTTTTTTACTTTGGGTTATGAAGTGCTTTGTTTTTACTGGTCATTAGGTCCGCATGCGTAAGTATTGCTGCCATATAGGTGCGGTAGCAAGCAACCCCACCAGGTACCCATTTATACTCTTAGGGGAGAACAGCAACGCAGATAAAATGCATTGCTCAAGGACACAAGCGAAGTGCACAGCAAGGAATTGAAACCTCGACCATGAGGTTGGAAACTAAACCTTCCAGCTGCGCCAAACTGCTTCCGCTTAATTAATTAAAAATTAATTTTTTTTTTAAATAGTTTTCTATTTCTATTTATTATTATTATCAACATCATTATGATCATCATCATCTTCTTCATTATTATTATTATTATTATTATTATTATTATTATTATTATTATTATTATTATTATTATTAATATTATTATTATTATTATTATTATTATTATTATTATTACTACTATTTATTACTATTATTTTATTTCAGGCGTGAGGCCTTACAATTGCGAAAAGTGTGATAAATCGTTTACACAACGGTGCTCGCTCGAGTCCCACCTCTCAAAGGTACACGGTCTTAACCACGAGTATATCTACAAACAGCGGCGCTCTAAGCTGTATGTGTGCGAGGAGTGTGGTAAAACGGATACAAATGTTGACGACTACTACGAGCACATTAAGGAAAAACACCCAGACAGTACGGAGCTTAGGAAATACCAAGATAAAGTACAATTTCAAAAGTTACTCAAGAAATGTAGCGATAATAAAACTCAATGACACAAATAGGCCTGCTACACATAAACCCTAAGCAATAGAGCAGAACAATACCGTACTGATAGAACATCTGAAAACAGATTAAATTGGTGTCTATCTTTTGACGTGTGTAGAGTCGTAACTTCTTTACTACATTTGACTATTTCATTTATGGTGCTGTAACATTTTATTCTTTCTTTTTGCCAACCTCTTAAGACTAACTTATACACGTGTAATTTATAAGGTGGAATCAATTTAGTTTGCAGTCTTTGTTATATTTTAAAATAAAGTTATAAAACTATTTTCTAAATGATTGTTTTTTTGATTGAGTAAACCGACACTTAAGTTTTTGATATAGGCTTACACAATACAGTACTGAATGAGTTGATGAACTGTTGGAGTAAAAGAAAAAAATAAGAACCTTAAAATCTGTTAAAAAATAAAATGTTTCCATTAAAAATATCAAATAAATCATTCACTTAAAATGAGCCACATAACCAAAGAATTTAAAGCTTTTTGTTGATTTACAGAATTTTACGAAGAAAATATTTAAATTGTTTACAATTTAAGGGTTTATCTATGATATAGGAACGTTATTATGCATGGCGTTTGCTAACTTGCATAGAAAATGTTTTGAGATTTTTTGACGAAGTATTAGTCAACAATTCAGATATAGTACTGAGTCATATTTATTCTTCAAGTTTTTTTTACTAATGTTACCATGACCAATGCGTTTGGCAGTTTTTTGTTTTTTTTTTGATTTTTTTTTTTGATTTGGGGGTTTTCTTTTCAGACCAAAATTGTCGAAGCTTTAGCCTCCATAACATCGCTACACGATTTCGCCGGCAGTTTTCATCCACGCTGATTTGTCGGTCGAATCGGAGAGCCTTCTGGATTGAGTCGAGGTCAGCTACGCAGTGTATAACAATTAAGCCCTCTTCAGACTATCAAATTTGATTTTCAAAAAAAAAACCTGTTGTATGCCCATCAAAGATCTTTTAAGATCTTTGATGCCCATGGCATAGATGATATGCATATTATGGTCATGATGAGATGTCATCATGACCATATTTAGGCATATCACATGTTTTTGTCAAATAAAATTATATAGTCTGTACAGGGCTTGCGGTATTAGTGGTCCAGTATTAATAACAGTTGTCTTTCATTTACGGTATATCTCAACTTGAAATTAAATAACAAAATTTATGTGTGAATTTGTGCAATTATTTTTGTACTATTGTCTATGTACTCCGTTTATTGACGATGTTGCAATAAAATATACAGTATCTAAATGCTTACTTTACTTTGTTTTATTACAAAAATTACTGAATTACAAGCTCTTGTAAATGAATTATTAAAAGCATAACATGTTCTCTTTTTTCTAAAAAAATAAATAAAATATCTGTAAACCATAAAATTCCAGCATAGAGCATGTAATACTGTATGTGAAAAATAATATTGTTGTCTTTCATAAAGAAAAATAGTTATATCATGAAGGATTTTGCTATCCTATCCACTACCGAATCCATTTTCAGTATAATCGGGGAGGGGATGGGTGAAAACACCAGTCCACAGAGTCATTTCAGTTGTTGGAAAATTATTCTTTATTCTGATGACATCATTTGCATTAACATTTGATGCTCGTTAACACTGTACATCACTCCTACAGAAGTGGATTTCGATCGAAAGTCAATTGTTATAATCATTTTTCTCCATGTTATAATACAGTACAGGAAATACTTTCAGTAAACAATGATAAATCCCTTTCAAACATGTCAGATTTTTCTCCTTTTTTTCTATTCATATGTTCTATTTTTTTGAGCAAAATAGTTATGATATAATATTTAGGTTAAGTAGTCGACACGCAGTAAAATACTGTACAGTAAACCATCCCGCTTGCACTCGGAGTAGCAGCTATTGCACCTTAGTTAGCATTGAGATGGCAATCGCATTACCCTGAAGAAAGGAAGGACTACAGACTTACAATGTTTGATTTCTTACCGCTTCGATTTACCGGTTAACTGTATGCCAACAATGAAGTGGCTACTTTGTGATGTCCGATTGATTAATCTAGACATACATTTTGCTGTATTGTCTAATTTAGTATGATGGCATACGCGCATCTTGTTTAGAAGTAGAACGACCGGTAATAGTTAATTAGACATTTGTTTCTCTACCAAATGAAGGGTATAGTGAGTTCAATGAGTAATACTTAAGGTACTTATCACCTAACCGGAACCTTTCCAAGAAATCGGTCCGAAATAGCTAAAACACGGTCACATGCGAATTAAATTTCTTTATACTACAAACACCTGTAGGACTGTTCATTATAAGACACTATATACATTTTAATAGGGATTATGTCGGCTGCTAATCACAAGAAAAAACAAATTGGCAGTCGGGTGGCGTCATGGAAAATTGCAGGTCGTTTGCATTATGTATATGGGCGTGTCCTAATTAATCGGGTGTGACTCGTTGATGCCACTTGAAAAATATTCACCTACAGTAACTGCGAACAGTAATCTGTTGTATGCGTGAACGTCTGTTTTAATTCTTTAATATATATTATAATGATGGTAATTTTAACACATTTATAACTTTGAATAATTTAAATTATTATTTTGATTTAATGTAATTCAGTGTATAATGTGTATAATTCTTTGAATTTGTAGTTTTTTTTGTTTTTTTTTGTCGTTGTTTTATTAAAGTATTTTTGTAATTCAGCTTTTGCTGCAATAGAATCTGTCTCTTATACACATCTAGATGTGTATAAGAGACAGGGCTTATCAAAAGCTCGACTCATCACTATAGCAATACCCATCCCCAAAAATTAATTTTCAGATTGTAAACAATACAATAATGGTTTAGCGCCCTCTATCGTTTTGACTTTTTACAAGCTTGGAAAATTATTAATATCGTCGATGGTGAGAAAACTAAGCAGGGACAGGTGTTTCTAAAGTGCAAGTAAACTCATGTTTTGTTGTCTGATTTCCGTGTTTTATTATAAGTATATCTACGCAGAGTTAATGTGTTCAGTTTCTTCTATCATTTGAATAATTTTACTCCCCCGTATTGCCACTCTCCGCCCTTGTTGAAATTAATTTTCCAAATCTAATTCACTTATAATAGTCTTTAACGCTCTCATCAGCAGAATCCTGAAAGACCACTTAATCTTTTGTAGTATGATTGATTGAAGAAGTAATAGCGTGCACACGCAAAGTAAATTAGACCATTATAAGTCAGTGCTTTAAAAATTGCTATTTTTACATCATATCGTGAAATAAAAAAGACTGTGTAGGCCCATAGTGAATGGGTGAAGTTAGCATTCGAACTGCTTGAAAGTGAAGAATAGGGCACCCTGATCAAATATGAAAAAGTGCATTTGAATAATATATTTAGATTTTGTATGTGTACATTTCTTCATATTATTATTGATGTGTAGTTGAACATTAAGTTTTCCCATCTGACTACATGACAACAATAACAAAACTAGCAATATCTCCATTTCATTTATTTATTGTTAATTGGAATTTATCGAATAGAGAAGATTCAAGCTAGTAAAATTCTTACCGGCTCTACAACAAAAGAACATTGAAACATTATGCCAAAGACATCAAGTAGGCCTAAGCCGAATGATTTCGCAGTTGCTTCAATCAGTATCCAGGTATATAAATTCCTCATTAACATTATACAACATTTGATTACTTGGGTCTTAGGTGTGCTTTTAACTACATTTAATTCGTCATGAATCTGTTTTATATAACAGACCACCTGTCTGATGTGATGTAAAAACAACATCGGATGTTATATTCTATAGAATTTTACAGAATAATCATATTAACTTTAAGCACACAGACGTAATGAATCGCTAGTTTTCGTGTTTCTGTATCGGATTTATGGAATTTTTATATAACATACTGTATATACACTTGTGTACTTGCACGTGACCTGCGGTGAAAACCGACGTTGACAAGCCGTACAAGAGTAATGAATACAAACATATAACCATTACAAAATGAATTTCAAATATTATGCAACATATTTTAAAGCCGCACGAGGATTAGGAGAACATGCATCACATCTTCTTGTAAGCCTACATTTAAATGGAACCATCACGATGGAGGATGGGTGTTTTAAATAAGAAGCTGCTCCAATTTATGTCAAATGATTAAGTTTGGAGTGTTACATGCTTACTTCAAAATATATTCACAGGATAAAGTTGTTCATTAACTGTGTGGTGAATAAGGGTGTGGGTTAGTCTAACCTAAGCTGTGCATAATATATTTACACTCACTGGAAACTGATCAGAATTTGTATTAAAATTTGATAGCAAGACTCTAAGTCTTGTAATTCAGACTGTGACAATCAGACAATGTTCTCTTTTAGACAAAGCCTTGATTATTATACATTGTTAAGGCAGAGGGAAGGGAAATGATACTGTATTCCTATATTATGCTTGGTTCAAACATTTTATTCGACTTTGTATAAACGGGCTAGGGCCTCTCCATAACAGATTAATCGAAAATTGATGCAGTGTTATAGATTGGAAAAAATATTTCTAATACAAATATTACCGGTATGTGGCGTGAGTTCGGTTGTCATGATGTAGCAGACGATAAGATGCTATTTTATTTTGCCAATTGAGAATTGATTGCGCGTCTTATTAATGGGATTGACTGGTGCTTGCATATCTTGTGTAGTTTCTTTCCGACGAATATATCGGCACCGCTTAATTTCATCGAAATTCTTCTGTAATAGATACTCGTGTCTTCTTGAATCTGCGAAAGATGTAGGCCTCTGTGGCTTCTTGTCAGGCCTGGTTAAAGACAGCATCTCAGTACTTGTAAGACTCTTCAATTGCAGAATGGACCGGGGTCGTTCCTCCTTGCGGGTTGTGCTAGACTTTGCCGCGAGACAGCACCGGGGCTTCAATACTGTACCATGTGAAGATGACGAAATTTCTGGTCGGACGGCCGGTGGCTGAGTGCAGAACGGCGTCTTGGCTCTCGGAGCAAGCTTCGGTGATGTTGATGGTGATTTTGTCTTGTGTTTCTCACCACAGCAGCTGTGTCTATCAGTTTTGACTGAATTCATTTTGTTATTGCTTTTTGTAAATGTTATATAACCATTTGTACCGGTATCATATATATTTCAATAAGTTGCAGAACGCTTCCAAGTAAGTCACGAACTTAAAAGTAATGTCTTCGACTATGTGACTGGGTTGACGTCTCCCATCCGGTGAATTGTTTTACGTAACAGTTCTTAGATTTGGATTATTCAGTTTAATGCAGGGGTCCTCTATGTTTAAACAAGCGAATCCACCTTTAAACATCCTGCAAACATAACAACATTTCACTACCATTACAATTCAAAATCAAATAACATTATTCTAAATGTTTTATAGAAGCATACAAGCTACATATACAGATGAAAATTTGAAAACATAGACCTAATAGAAAACCATTTTTGTCATTCCGTCATTCCGATAGGCCTAGAATTAATTTAGAATAAAATCAAGATTTGTTAGTGGCCAATAAGTCCAAAATAAAAATTGTGTCTGGAAAAGCAAATCACAATATTGTTAAAAAAAATCTCTACTGAAATTTGTTTTCATAACGATTACCCCAGATGCCCTGAAGTTGAAGTTTAAAATGATAGAGGGCGCCATATATTTTTACATTGGAGCCGATATAAAGAGTGAAAACTCAGGAAAACTTTTCCTGCCAAACAAGTATTCATAAACTAACAATAACTGATAATATAAGCATTTGTGCTACAGAAAGTTCGAAAATGTATAATATTTGTTTAAAAAACATCATTAATCAGAACCACACTATCACAAGTGCGCCCTCTATGTAATTCACATTTCGAGTTTATGTAAACGGCCAAATGGTGACGCCAAAAACGGAGGACATCGTCGGAGGACTGGACCCCCGTCGATTCAACGACGAGGTCGTCGGAGCAAAGATAACAATTTTCCTATCCAAATAGCGTTATTTTTATTTCACAATTTGGGTCATACTAAGCTAACTCTCCCCGTGAACTCTGCTCTTATTCAGGGACCTGACCGATCGAAGCGAGCCAATCGGGTCGGACCCCTTGTCGGCCCACTGTCGGCACATTTTCTGGGGCCACCGCCTACCTGTTATTCAATTTATTTTTACTGTCATGGCTTCTCTGATCGTGAAACTGCTACACTATGAGACCCAAGTTTTTAATTCGGAGTCGAGGCGCCATTAGCCAGCCACAATTTTGAATGATGAGACTCGATTTATCTTGCAACTACGAGTAGTTTGACTATCTATCTATCAATTTGCCTATATACCGTAATAATTATGATCTTTGAAAGAAATTTCGATGCAGCGTACACATTAAATATAGTATTTAATGACCTCTTTAAGTGCCGCAATTTAATTAGAGAAATTCTAATTAGAAAAATCAAAATAGCTAATAGGTCTAATCACTAAGATTCCGGTCCAAAAGTGTGGAGGGAAGACCTGTATTTAAAAAAAAAGCACTGACCTTATTAGTATTATATTATTATTGTTTGAAATCACGGACAGTATTTTTTATTGGCCTTGTATTGTTATAGCTCAGATCTGTGGTTACAGCATATGTTAACCTCTTTAAAATAGGCTACAATACGGTATTGCAGATGTGCTTGTTTCACGTACTGTATTAGACCTACTGCAGGTAGAGTATGAAACATTTAAGTCGTTATATTTTTTCTTGGAAATAAACTGTACTAAATTTAACGACAGGCCTATTATGTATAATTGACTTAAAAATCCTAATTTCAAGACTTTTAATCAAATGAATATCCATCTACATAATGAATGTTTCTTACCATTTAACTTACACGTAATTCGAAGGTAAACGTCAATATTAGAACCTCGCCTTCCAGCTACGATTTTGAACTTGAACCGCCAAAGTTTCCCAAAGCAGCTGCTGTCCTAATAGTAATGCGCAATAATACGACTTGTTCTGGAGAAAATAGTTTAAATCTTCCGCTGCGAAAGGCTACAAATGAACAATAATTTTTACCAGAACAGGGTAACATTTATTCGGTCGGCTAGAAATTAATTTGCATAATCATTTACGAACGATGCAGATGAGAATCTAGATGCATAGTCGACGGATAAGTCTACTATGAAATTATGCAAGCAAGCGGTTTCAACGAATCTTATTTGTTTAGACATATCGTTCTTAATGACTTGTAACTCGCTTCCTGGACAATCCGCACACATGCGTAAAGGCGGCTTGGAGGAAGCAACGGACAATATAGGCTGGGTAAATATAGGCATTATCAATCAACTCAGGTGTTCAGATCGCGGCTTCAATTAATACAAAATGAGCATAATTATGAAAAATGAAGATGCTCTGAGATTGATTTTTTTGAGAATTAAGTTGAGCTCTTTTATTTTTTGTTTACAGTGGATACACCTGCCAACACATATAGGCCTATCTAACAAAGCATCTCCTGTCCCTATCCACACGTAATATTCCAGTAAACAATGCTAATTTAGTGTGATGCGCGCCCTTTGACCATTTCAAGTAAAAGACAGATTTCTGAACTAACGTCATTCAGATGTAACATCTGACCGGGGTCGTTCCTCCTTGCGGGTTGTGCTAGACTTTGCCGCGAGACAGCACCGGGGCTTCAATACCGTACCATGTGAAGATGACGAAATTTCTGGTCGGACGGCCGGTGGCTGAGTGCAGAACGGCGTCTTGGCTCTCGGAGCAAGCTTCGGTGATGTTGATGGTGATTTTGTCTTGTGTTTCTCACCACAGCAGCTGTGTCTATACATATATAAATTAAAATGCAAAATTATATATATATCTAAATCCTTTCCGAGCCACTGGGGCTCATAAGGCTGGAGCTTATCCCCAGGTTCTGTAGTGTGAAGCGGATGAGAGTTGTACTCCCCTGGACAGGACACTAGTCCGTCGCAGGCTAGTCCCCAGCAGTTTGCTGGTAACCATTGATACAGCTGGGTACTAGACAGAAGCAATGCAGCTAAAGTGCCATGCCCAAGGACACAAGCGAATCTGCATACTTGGAGTATGTATTATACTTTCTTGTGCCTATATATATTATTCATTTATAAATTTTAATTTTAGAAATAGAAAAACAATTAAAAAAATGTAAAAAGATAGATTGATTTTTTTTTCAAATTATAATTAAACTTCGATGACTGCTTGTGTAGTTTTCCTGCTGGTTCGTCTGCCGTGTATGGGACAATCGGGAGAATATTGGAAGCCTCTGTTTACATATTCAAGTGTTGGTTTGTAACGCCTCAACATATCTGATGTGATGGCCTTAGATGTGCTTGCCGCCCTCTTTGGTTGTAATGATCCACTTGTCCTACCGATGGAAAGAAAAATAACAGTAATCCAATTCGTAGTTTGAACTGCGCATGATCGTATCCAAGGTCAATCCAGGTCAATCAACAAAAACCTATGTTGTGTGTATGTTTGTTCATGAAGATATAAAATAGAAAAATATTTTTATACCTCCATGTTTTTTTTTAATGTCGATTGATTTGATACGAGTAATCGCAATTTAAACGTATACGAATTGGCTTAAAGAATGCAAGTAATTGATACTCATGAAGGCTTTTGTAATCACAGTAAAATGCATTAATGGATTTTAGAACGGTAGTAATATTATTATTTTTAAAAGTATTGATCCAATTCAATTTAATTTAAATTTACTTGTCTGCCATTATCAAAATGCTGCATTAACCGACAGCAGAACAATGCACATGCAATATTATGTGGTCGCTATCAAAAGAACAAGATTCAATTTTGTTTTCTTTTGAGGAGCTGCTGCTACGAAACGGCAAAACACTTATTACACTGACAAAAGAAATAGCACCATAAACATAGGCTCTACTATGAACGATAAGTAGAGCACAACTGTACAATATTACATTGCAAAGAACGCCATATTCACAAATCAAGGACTTTTAACCATATCAAAATAATAATAATAATAATAATAATAATAATAATAATAATAATAATAATAAAAATAATAATAATAATAATAATAATAATAATAATAATAATAATAATAATAATAAAAATCATAATAATAATAATAATAACAACAACAACAACAACAACAACAACAATAATAATAATAATAATAATAATAATAATAATAATAATAATAATAATAAAAATCATTATATGATGTCAACAATTATATACCGCCATAATATCATTAAAATGAAATCAGAATTTCATTTCACTTTTGTAAAGTTTCAAATGAATACAGTACAACACAATACATGTTTCTGATTCACTTACTGCGCATGTGCAATTTTTGTCGTTGATGTTGCCTGTTGTGTTGACGCAGTCTGTAACGTCTGCGACAGAACTGATTCAGTAGTGTTACTTGATCGTATCCTATATTTCTTTAATTTGCAGTAGAAATGCCATCGTTTGAAAACCGTGAAAAGCATTATTGCTAACACTACACACACGATTACCGGCATGACGAAGATCAGAGAAGATGTACTACTTGACGTGAATGTAAAACTGAATGGATAGATGGACTCTACAAAAGGAAAACATGAAAAAGAAATGAACTTATAGGAACGCATAAAAAATCATATTATGTGCACACGCGTGTGTAACACAGTTACACACATGTAACTCTATGCACACACGTGTAACGAGCATCACAATGTATTAATATCATTTATTTTTATATTTTATTTTATTCAACTTCAACTGGATCTGAAAAAAAAAAACACATCAGAAAGGCAAGTACAGAACAGGTGAAAAAGCACCCCTACAGAGCCGCCTTTGCACCAGAGATATTTATTTCTATATTAAGAATTCACTCGAAAATTTTGAGGTTGTGAAATCATTTCGTCTTATAGATTGACTGACTGATTGATTGACCGACCGATTGATTGATTGAATTTATTTCGTTTACATGTTTTAAATATTAAAAATATTCATTAAGAACAATATATGTTAATCTCACAGCAGTATAAGCGAATTACAGGTCTCCCTCCAAGTAAAGACCACTTTTGGGACGAGGGTTTGGTGGTCTTTAGCAGTTTTGCTCTCTAATTAGAATCCCTCTAATTAAAGACCGGCACTTAAAGTGGTCTTTAAATACTCTATTTAGAGGGAAATGAACACATTAATTAATGTAAGATTAATTGTTTTGTTATTGAAACTTTTGTGAGAGGATAACATGACTGTACAAGGACATGACTTCGTGAATTCCTGCAGAAAGTGAGGAATTGTTACTGAGAACTGAGCCACGCAACAATGAAGATGCTTGTGCAGGGGCGGCGCTAGCAGGGTCTAGGGGAAAAGGACCACCTTCCCCCCGGTCAGGGATCTCTGCACCCCCCGCTTGGACCTCCTGTCGGAGAATTTCCAGTATGGCCATCGCCGAAGAATAAAATCTTTAATTACTATACATTATAATATGAAAACTAAAAAAACTATTATACCAGAACTAATTGCAACAACTACAACGGGACGACGACGACGACGATGATATTAATAATAATAATAATAATAATAATAATAATAATAATAATAATAATATAACGATAAGGATGATGACAATGATAGGCCTAACGGTGATAATGATGAAGATGGTGGTGGGTGATAATGATGATGATGATGCAAGACAAAGTACATGTGAAAAGCTTACGGAATTTGGTACCATATATTTTTTTCCCTTTTAATATTTTTTTTTAACGAAGGCTTCAATTCTATAATGCACAGGGGAAATATATAGGTCAACCAAGTAATGAATACTGTATAATATGAAAAATGGCACTACGATGACTTGCAACAAATGATTTGACTCATATACAGATTAATAACTAATTTCTAATCATTCTTCATTCTTCAAATAATTTTTCTAGAAGCAATATTCCTAATTTAAGCCGTGTGCTTATTTAAGTCGTATCCTTTTATCTCGTTAATTCTTAATGGAAAGCCATACACGGCAGGTACACGCTGTATGAATATGTATTTTGTTACATGTTGACGTGTGTATATTGTATTGCTGTTGTTACGGGCATGTGATATTTCCTCCATGGTTGTACTTTGGTGAGCGAATTAAGTTGAAAGCGGATATTAGACCATGATGGCTTTCGTAGCAGTAATGAATTGAATTTTTGATCTGTAATGTATACGTATATCAACTAGACCTCTTATATTGGTAGTTCATTTCGCCCACACTATAACTGTAACCGAAGACACTGTGATACTACGATGTATTCCTCGTCTGCAACCTGTTGTTGTGGACTCTGACTGGTTTATGGTATGCAGTTACACGTCACACGGGGCTTTCTTCGCTGTAAGCAAATACATCCAATACCATTCATGTGTTTTCCCCACGAGACTTGTAAATAAAGCTGATCGTTTATCGATGAAAGATCGTAATTAATCGCTTTTGATTCATTTTCATGAATATTTTCATGACTACTACCGTACTCTGAGTTTATGTTACAATGTATCAAATAGTAAATTCTTTGCCTTATTAATTGAGATTATCAAAGGTTTGGATCCTATCCTGAACATCGTCAATATACATCAAGTTAGACGTGTCATAATCATCAATTTCTTACATCAGCCCCAACCATTGTGGGGCTCAGGTAGATTGACCCACCATCTTTTGACAATCCTTCTCTTTTCCCCCTCTATTTCAAATTCCAGGATTCGCCACTTTCAACTTTGAAGTGTTATGAATCTTTTTAGCTCTACGTTTGAATAATACTTTTCATGTTTCTATGCTTTATTTTTCATGACCTTGTGAAATTAAGCACTCATAATCGATTAAATTAGTTCTCTTATCCGTTAAAAGGCCGTAGCTTCCGGGGATCTTCCCCTCGATCCCGCTGGGGGCCAGGCGGCCCCCAGACCCCTAGCCATCACTAGGCCCGGGCAGCGAAGCTGCCACGGGGCCCAGGGCCGCACTCGGTGGCCCTGGTTATGCGTTGTATTGTATGTTTTGTCTGACCAGATACAGGTAGGCGCTATATTGACGGTATCTGACACGGTAATGAAGCGTTGGTCACTAATTCTGCAATCTAGCTGTTGGGGCTAGTGGCTTAATCATTTGTGAGCTCAGTGATTGGAGCAAACTTTATCCAGTGTTTTTGGCATGTGTATATAGAACAAAGACTATGTTTATTTGTTTGATCCCTAATTATGTAGATGGTCTAAATTATAGGCACTATTATTATTACATTTATAAAACACCCATTTCAGTTATATTAGGTAATGCCGTGTATGCAGATTAATATTTTCATAATTAAAGTAACTCATAACTTACTATGTTATAAAATGAATCTAAGCTTATTATAAAATCAATTCAATCAAAATTCAGTTTATTTGATGATTTTAAAAGGTATGAAAAAATACGGATGACAAAAGAGGTAGGGGAAATTTACATAATGAATCTACGCCTAATTTAAAAGGTATGAACAATTATGAATTCAATTAAACTATAAATCAATAATATATTATATACAATGCTTGGGTTGAACACATGATGAACCCACCACAAGAGAGTGCATAAGTAGGCCTAACTGCTTTTAAATTAAGAAGATGTCTTTCGATGGGTCTACCATACACGGAAACGATTCCTCAATGATTAGGCCTACACCAAATATCAATTAGAAAGGTTATAATTAAATGACTTGTAGAGCATGCAGATGTAAATTTCTGCTATTCTGTACAACCCTAAAAGACAAATTCAAAAACGACTAGATTCGTTTAATGTAGTGGTATGTATTGAAGACGGGGGGGGGGGCACCTATAGAAAAACATAGGCCTATTTTACATTGTTATATCAGAGTAGGAGGAATGAACATAGTAAAGCATTCACTTAAACCTAACGAAACCTACGAGATTTAAATCCAATCACAAAAGCATTACCTGACATAAACATTTTGTAAATCATTTCCTCTGCTTGTCCCAGCATCCTACTTTGAGGGATTTATTTGATTAACCGGTATATATATATATATCACTAATTTGTGTCTATATCTCATGTAAACAGTATGACATGTTACATAGCTGAAACGTGTTTTTCACGAAATTAATTTAGGAGTATCCTCACTAGCTTCGTGATTTATTACCTTCATAATTGCTAGGATGGTTGTCAATTACAAACGTATAACGTTAACATTTACAAAAACTGTATCTTACTTACAATGATTGCACTCTGCAACGAATAATAAAGTATCAACATTATTGTAAGAATTCACAATTTATCTTGTCTAATCCAACAATAAAATGAATCCATAAATCACGAGATAAAAAGATTACGGTTATCATTAATTATTAATCCGCTACAAGGACGTTGTCCCATTGGGTATCTGTTCATGTGCAGAGAAGACCTAAAGGCATTCTCTTACGAGCTGAGAGGTAGGCCTAATTGCGCACGTTTAGGGAGGAGCGCGTATATATACAAATGAGATACGCGCATTGCACCAATCCAATAATTGATAATGGTACAGTTTTACAGTTTCAGTACGGCAGGTAGCGAAATTGAATTCACGATCGAAATAAATTACAATGTCTTAAGAAAGAATGCTCCATTATGTGTGAGTCGTTAGTTTGTACTTTTTTTTTTTCAATCCGAAGTAGATGAGGCAATTTGTTATATTGTTAACGTCCTATGGAACACAGTGAACTAAAACCATGAATATTAAACAAAATTAACTATAACCACCAAGTCGACGAAGCTAAGACAGCTGAAAGGAAACCACAATTATTCAAACATCAAAGGTAATAGAGTTCATTTAAATGAGCAATATGATAATCATAATACCCTGTCTCTTATACACATCTAGATGTGTATAAGAGACAGCTTTTAATTTGGGTCAGAAATTCATGTAGGATTGGTGAAGTTTTAAACTAAACAAGTACCGGAAATAAAAATAGTAATAATAATAATAATAATAATAATAATAATAATAATAATAATAATAACTATGACTAATATGATTAGCATCATCATTAATATTCTATAATTTTGTCTAAGAGTGTCTGAGATTCTCATTGTATCTCTTTATCAATAATTATAATTACTGCAGTAGGCTTTAATTATTCGTTCAGATCACATCAACTGCAAGCGAAAATTTCAGATAAAAAAAATATTACGAATTTGATGAAGGCGAAGTTTTGCATTTGCCAAGAAGCTGATTGTTATGAAAATGAAAACAAATAACAGTCGACTAATAATATTTGCTTTCAGCGCGCATGCATAATGACATGAAGCGTTGTGATATTATATGGATGTTTTGCAGTCAAGTTTTAATTGAGCCACAACCTACGTTGGACTATATATGTAACTTGGGTTCCTGGTTCCCAGAGCCCTGGTTCGATCCCATCGTGTAACGCTGCCTGTCTCAAAATGCAAGCTTCAAGGCTAACATTACATAGCTATCAAACTTTACAGATTAATGATGTCATAGGTCTAGCAGTGACGTCGTAGTAAGGTATACGGACAAAGAACGCGTACTATACGCACTGCATCATGACTACTCAAGCATAGCGGGCTCAGAATATTTA